CAAAGCATACATGTTAGTGGGATCTGAAAGCGGATACGGGTAGGAATGACATCATGTTTCCTAAAATGTTGCACATTCCAAAGAAAATGAAAACTTATAATTGGGTGAAATAAGATATGGCTGATTAGTTTCGTTTCCTCGGCCTTTTATTACATTATAATGGAAAGTTCCTAAAAACGCAGCGGAAAAGTCGTAAAGCATTTGCTTCAGTTATACACTAAAGCGTCTCAGAAATATAATTTTAGTTTTGAAACAATTTCGTCAGTATTCGATACCTATGGCGCCAGTAATTGGAACTATGGGTCAGAAATATAGGGCAACCATAATGCAGCGGATATTGAAAAATTGCATTTTATTTGTTTTGTAAAAATCTCCATGGTGTTCGCAAATTTACTCCAGATTTTATGATTTATTTTTGATAATGAAGATATCCCTCGAAAATGAGTTCTAAATTATAATTACTTTTTAAGTCTTGGATAAAATCAAGTAACACAGGTAACTGTATACTATACAAACATGTTATTAAGGAATGTCGCGTTATGTGAAATTCACAAAGGGATGAGTTTGAAAAAAATCATTGCATAGGATGGGAAGAAATATTTCGGGATTTAAAATAAGGTAAATAAGTGAAGTTGTAAATTTCAAGTCAAAATATTAACTAGAAAGGAAATTTTTGAGAAAACAAATTACTTTTCTATTGAAAATGACCAAAAAAGACCCCCCTGACGTAATCCTTCTTTTTTATATAAACAATCTCTAAGAGACGATTGAATTTCTGTCATTTTTCATTCTGTTACATATGCCTGTCTAATTTATACATGTTTTCAATAACAGAAATGGTGTTATTTTGGTTTTTAAGCTCACTTTGAAAACAGCAAACTATATTTGTGATTTACGATACCCCTTTTGGTACCCCCAGAAACCCACTTTCGGTCAAAGTTTTACCTTAGTTTTTTCGCATGTCATACAATAGGACATCTTTGAACAAAATAAGAAGGTGAAAATCCGAATATACCGGGGCCCAAAAAAGGGCCTTATAGACACCCTTCCTTTCTAGTTTTGCCTACGTTAATAATAAATAATAATAATTCGAGGTTCTTATATAGCGCTTTACCACAACCTAGTTCGTAGATCGTCTTAAAGCGGTTCACAAATTGTTATCCGCAATATATGCCTTTGCAACCAGCCAAAATTTTTCTTAACTCCCTTGGGAGCATACAGACGGTGCTGCCATTTCGGCGTACTACGTACTCATTTACAGCTGAGTAGACTGGAACACACGGAGTAAAGTATCTTACTCAAAGATACAACAAACACGATACCGTGCTGTGACTTGAACCCACAACCCTTCGGTCACGAGTCCGGCGTCCTACCACTAGACTACCGTGCCTCCTTATTGTGAACAGAGGACGACCTTATTTTGACTTAAATCACCTTATTTATTTAAAAGTCAAACAATAGATACACTATCTAAGTTAGAAACAATGTGTATATTGTTCATTACTTTATTGATAAACAGTACGAGAGATATCTACACCAGTAGTCGCTGCGCAATTGGTGTGCGTGTGTGTTGTTTATTTGTTTACCGTCATGTCATATTGTTTACATGCGCACTGGATTGGTTTGATATCTTAAGGATCCCCATACCACTTCTGCGAACTGTTTTTGTGGATTAAATGTTTTTATTAAACTTCCATGCATGAAGCTTTAACAAATTCTATCTGGTAAGAAATCCAGAAAATGCTGATGATAAATATGTGAAGATGAAATAAACTAGTTCGCCACTGAGTCGCGGGTTCTAGGCCTACGTTGGACAATCACCAGGTACTGGTCGGAGGTCCGTAGGTTATTCTTCGGAAACCCCGGTTTTCCTCCACCATCAAAATCTGGCACGTCCTTAAATGACCATAGCCGTTAATAGGACGTAAAACACAATCAAATCAATTTCAAGCATGACCGGGAAACAAAACATCGACTCTCCCTCACGCGATCGAGCATACCTCTCGCGATCCATTTTCCCTGTCGAGTCCCCCTCGGAACATCTTTGGTCAATGTATAACACCCGATGTTTTCCGGGCAACAATGATGGTTGAAAAAGTCCTGATAATCTTTACTGTTGGCATCATAGTTTTATTTCGGCATAACAAAATATATATTGACTAAGTAGTAGAGAAACATGCGTATTTGTTTCCCTTCGATCAAATCTTGGTGAAACAATCGGGTTCCCCTACTGAAATGTAAATATTCTACCCACAACGTAGGTGTTCTAAACGAATAAATTGTGAATGCATTTTGTTGGGGAAAGGGAGTTGTTTCCTATTAAAAGGAACATTTATTTTGTCTTTTAAAAAATAGTACACCTCAAAATGGCAACCCTCTCCCGCAGCATCCCCTCTCCAACTCCTCTTTCGTCGCTCCCGCTCCCCCTCGAGCACCATGTGCATGTAGGAATTTGATGCCAGTCTAACTGTATTGGAGACATTGTATATTTTTGTATTCTAATTGTCGTCAAGAAATGTTCTAAACTCACAATCGATATCAGACTATCCAGTTCAATTCGGGAAGCCCGCAAAACGGGCGTTCGATTTCCTGTAGTTACGTAATTTTCCACAGAAAAACGCCATTTCTTCCCGAAGAATTCGGTCCTTATCTCGGTATGCAATCATACCGGTGACCGTTTAAAATGTTTCTAAATAAAAAACCGAATTAGTATTTTAATACGTGGTTTTTCGTGAAACTTCTTGAACATATTTGCAGAATATAAAATAATGCATATTTGTAAAATTTGCAGAATAGTTTTAGCGTGTTTCTCGCTACAATGTCGGTATACAATATATGTCAAGTTATTGCTCAAATAATAATAATAATACAAGAGGCACAAAGGGCTTTGACGTGTATATGGGTTCCAGGGGCCGACAGCACAGGAGCATTGCAGCCGTTCTTGAGCAGAAGTAGAAAATTACGTTCTCTTATCAGTAGCCAATCAGAGACAAGGTGGCTAACTTTTGTTTTGGGGGCGTCACAAAAAGTAATCTTTTGCAATTAAGATCTGTTTGAGAGCCTTATCTCCATACAAAATCAAACATTGAAGTTAAATCCTCCCCGACATTATCACATCTGAGTGTCGCCGTCTGCCATTGGTTTACTGCCCCAAGATCGAAAGTCTTGTTTTCTGATTGGTCAAAAAGTCATTCATCACAACAAATCCCATTTCGCTGGGTTTTTTTTTATGTTATTAGGTAGTACTGTTGACTTCTCGCGCGGGTGTTTGAAGTTGTAGGTAAAAAAAACTTCTGTGAAATCCTCTGAGTCTGCTTTCAGCCTATCACAGCGAAGCAGGAGCGAACCTTCATGTAAAAATAATTGGTAGAGATGTCATAAGGAACATTTGTACCGAGCATGATGTCACTCGCTACAGCTAGCTGATTGAAAAGAAATCGAAACTGAAGCTAAGACGGCCATCTTGGATTTACGGTTCGATAAGCAAAGTAGTCACACGAATATCTGGCGTGGTGGCAGGGTCAATGGACAATCGGACAACACCAATACGCGTCTCCAGTTGGTAGATTGTGAATATCTGACATAATTTCTCTCGAACCTTTTACTGGATTATCGAGAAAAAAATCAAGAGAAAGACAAATTTGCTAAATACTAAAAATGTAAAATATTTTTATTCTTTTATATTGAACTTTAGATTGTGCCATACACCCTTCACCGCGGTCACGTTTTCCCGCCCTCGATTGACCACACTACCGCGGTCAACTAGGCCGAGTGGTCAGCAGTAAGCCGGCCAGATAACATTTACTTACTTATGTATGTTCAGCCTTGAGAAGGCCGTACATATAGACTATCATCGTTGTTGGACCTGTGCCAGGAGTGTCTATCTAAAGTGATATTAAGGTTTGCATACATTGACCGAGTTTTATCGAGCGAGTAATATCCAATACACACAACCCGCTGGTGTAGTATGTCTATTCTTTTCCTCACATTCATGATATTTCTAGTTTATTGTAATGTATGTACTCGGTAGCCTCGGTATAGTTTATTTACAAGGTATCACAGCCATCCGTCTGGGAATCCAGCCAACACGGTCGCAAATGTAAAATAATTTCAAATTATCTGCATATTCTTCATTTACCTTCATTCGCTCTTTAAAAAAATTAACAACCCTTTATCCGTATGTTGTCTTTAAACGTGTTGGAAGCTTGTGACCTTGGATATTAAATGTCCACATTTTCCTGGAGAAATCCTTACATGATAATAATTATATTTACAGTTTCTATTTACTCAGGTTATTAAAAAACCCGAAAACTGTCCAAACTAAACTAGGTTCTGAAGTACTTGAAAGATTGGTCTTTGTCAAAGCATTCATAGTGTTAATGTATATTTGTATATCAAATTGATTTACCTAGCTAGGCGTAGTTTACAACGTATAATATGTATTGCCGACCCACACACGTCACAAAACTGTTCTATAAAAACGTAATCTAACACCCCGTTTGTGGAGTACAGACTTCGACTACGTTATAAACATCTCCCGGCAAACCAGGTCGATACGTCAGAGAAGAATCAAGAGGAAACGGTGTTTTTTAGAGAAGAAACAAGCTGACACGCGGAAGTGCAATTTCTATTTTATAAGCTGCATTGACGTACAACTGTGTAAATGTTGTTATTGTGCAGAATGTTAAATCCTTGGTAGGCCGTCAATCCGTCTCCGACAAATGTACGAAACTATCGATAAGCTAGTACAGTATACGGGAGGTTTCGATATGCTAATATTGGGGAAATGAGGTGATCGAAGAAACAAAAGAGCTCACGAAGGAACGAGGATCAACAGGGAAATATCTATATTGGAGAATAGCGTTATCAAATTATTTCGTTCCGTATTAACTTCGACCAACATTGATTAAATAGGAAACGCGCTACTTTTTAGTTTCGTACCAAGAAACACAATGTTTCGTAACAGGAAACACATATTTTTTATTTCGAAGCTCCTATCATAGGTGTAGTTTTTTTCTTTCAGGTATTTAGTGCTTTCCATATGGTATGCTTATTGACTGTGACCCGAGACTCGAGTCTAGCTAATTCACGAACTGACTGCCCCAAGTCTCGCGTGGTGTATAGGACATAGATAAGTAATGGTTTTATGTGTGCGGTTGAGATGTCGGCTAGTCTTCATGCGGGATAAGATGGCTGGGGAATGGCGCGACGGCGGGCAGACGATATCCGATACACATCATAACAGAGATAAGCGTGACCTTGCGGCCGCAACAAAGGCCACCAGACGGTAAACATTTACATAATTACTACGGCCATTTTCTGACTGCTCTTTACGATAGCTTGTTCCTTTAGTCGTCATTGCTGATTTTCAGCTTTGTAAACACAGAATAATTCAAGCGAAAAGACGAGATGACGACAATTTTGTTGCAAATATAAGGTCGTTATTTCGCCGCGAAAATACGAAACAACGACATTCTATAATTCAAAATCTCGTTATTTCGCCGCGAAATAACGAAATAACGAAACGACACAAATAAACCACCATAGACTTTTTAGTTATATGCATCCTCACTTAAAACTCTTTGGATAAACTGCATGGAGTTGGTAAACCTTTGTTTTACCCACTAGTGAGTAACACCCTTTAAGTGTACCCTGGTCGAAAAAAGTAATGAATATATTATAAGTCTATACAGCATAAAAATTGGCCAGCCCAACGTCTATCCTTCTATGACTAATAAGCATAATTGTAACTTCCTGTGAATAGGACACCTTTTGGCTGTGACGTCACAAATTCACTGGCTGTAGATGGAAACATGGAAAGAACAAGCGAGAGCGAGAACAGCCATTTAGCGTCAGATTGCGACTGAGTTTTGAGAAATCAGATTATGCTGAAAATGGCTTTATATGTAGATTTCATCCAGAAACATCAAATTTGCAAGAACTTTCAGACAGTGGGTTGAATGGAAACCAAACTGACGACTCTAAATAGGGCAACAGACTGGAAGCATTGCTGGTCCAGTTTCTGAGCACTAATGAGAAATTTGCTGAATAAACAAATTTGAGGAAATTAAACAACAATGTTGTTGATCAATATTTTTGTATTCTTTATTTCAGCTAGAAGTCAGTCTGTAATCACTTCCTTTACTCTACAATGAGAACTTATTCCATCTTGTCGATTGGTGATTTCATTGTTCAATATTTTAATTATGACGTCACGTAACAATGCTTTGTTTCNATATATATAATACTGATAAGTATATACAGATATATATAAATAAATTGATAGGAACTGCCAGGGTTGGGGAGCCCTGGAGTCAGTCCCCTAAACAATATGGTGTCCTCACACAGGAGGGCTCTCATTCATTTTTCTCTGTTAATTTTATCTAAATTCAAATATTTCAATTTCATAACATTTTTTCATCAATATATAACATTCAGAAATTTGATTGGGAAATAAAACATTTGTACATAGAGTATTGGACATCTACAGAACAAGAACATACTACATGTACCACATTTCACACACAGCACACACATCCAGACGTGTTTACATATACATCAGTATCATAATCACTAAACATTAACAAAACACTTATACACACACATATACATACGTACATAATATACACTCCTACAACCTACATACATATATACATACATGCATACACATGCACGTACATACACACTAACATCAGCAAGTCTGCATCCACTTACATACGTACACATGCATGTAAATACAAACATACATGCCAATTATTGCATGTATCCATATAAGCACCAGAAAACATGCACTCTACTAACCCGTATTGCGTTTGTTTTTGGAGAGAGAAATATCAATCGACAAATAGGCAAATTGTAGTATACAAAAAATTCTCAAAATAAATCCTTCCATTCCATCCATCTTTGATCAAATGTTTCATTGTATAAATTTTTTACTGATAAAGCTTTCTCAATATTATATCTGAATGCAAGAAACTCATTCAAACCATTTAAACTTAACTTCTGTTTTTTTCTGGAAACAGTATATATATAATATTTTGTATACAAAATAATATAGTTAATGGGCATAGGAGAATTTTCAGTAATTCCAAAAAGTATTGTTTCCAACTTAAAATCAATGATTTTCCTTATTCTGCTAAATAATCTCTCTTTTAAATCTTGCCATAGCTTTAAGGACTGTGGACATTCCCAGAATAGATGTTCTGTAGTTTCTATTTCTATTTTACACATATTACAGATATTGTCATTTGACATCCCAATAGTATTTAAATAGTTTTTAATTGGGAGGATACAATTTTGTAATCTGTATTGAAACCATTGCAGTGTTGTGTCTTTTGTAACTTTAAAGACAATACTATATGAATTTTTCCAATTTATATTTCTAAAATTTTCTTTCAATACCCATTTTCTTTCAGCTGTATTTACTAATTTAATTTTACTATTTAATATGTCATACATGTCTTTACAACCTTTTTTTTTCTTTATGATAATATAAATATGACTTGGTATGAAGGGCCTCTCCAAAGTTGTTTCTGCAGTTAAGTTATAATTTAATTGTTCACAACATTGCCTAATAGACTGGCATATACTATGATAAATCAAGAAGTTTCCAGAGTTTATATTGTATTTCAGTTTAAAATTTACAAAAGTTAAAAAAACATTATTTTGCTCTAATAGATCACAAACATTTTTAACACCCCGATCGAACCATTTTCGGACAAAAAAAGACTTTTTGCCAATACCAAAAAGTGGGTTATACCAGATTGGGAGAGTTAAGAACTGCTTAATAGATTTTACATGTGTTACTTCTGAAACATTTACCCATGCCTTAAAAACATCCTTCCAAAACATATTACTAGTCTTAAAATTTTTAATAAAATCAATTCCCATATCCGATATATTTTCTACTGGAAAGTGCTCTGCTTCAAAAATATGTATCCAGTTTTTCCCATTATTTTTCAGTAATCTTCGTTTCCAAGTGGACTTCAAACTAGATATGAAATTATTGATGTTAATCATTTTAAGGCCTCCACTTTCATACTTTTTGATTATAGTATTTCGTTTAATTTTGTCAACAGGAGATTGCCAAATGAAGTTAAAAAATATTGTGTTCAGCTGCTGAATAAAAGTGCTGGTTGGTGTAGGAATTGCAATGAACAGATGATTAAGTTTTGGTATAATTATTGATTTCAATACTACAATACGACCAATAGGGGTTAAAATCCTACGTGACCATTGGGTTATACTGTTATTTACATTTTTTAGGGCTTTCACATAATTCAAGCTTATAATCTCTTCTAAGATAACTGAAAAATGAATACCTAGCAAATCAAATTTTGTTTCGTTTGTAACTTAGTTAAATGATTCATGAGACTTATTTTTCTCATTTGAAACCGAAATAAAGTATTTGCACCAAGCTCGTGATGGCTGATCATCGTGTTTATCTAACTCTCATTTGTCAAGTTTCCAATTGTTAGAACACTCGCTAAACCTCGTGTCTATATACACTATAAAAATTTGCTAGCCCGAGTAAGAAAAACTATGACAACCAACTATCACTCGTTGGGAAATATCCATGATATCTTTATACCCTGGTTAACGTGGGTCATGGAAAAAGGAAAACGACTTGTAAACTCAAATGAAACAATAAATATAACGGTTATGAATTAAATATCATGCCACTGTGGAGAGACGTAGTGTGCTCCGACCGGAAGGAATCGTCATCATGTACCACCGGAAGTATCTGGCCGTCCGAGAACGAGCATCCGGTCACCCTGGTCAATGCCCAGATGAGACTTTCCGGAAAGTCGCAAAGGAAATGTAAAGTTTCCTCCCTTGGTTTCATCCGTCCAATGTTACTGGATGTTTCACTTTGTGTGAATGAAAAATTGTCAACTGTCTGTGACAATTTTGTTTTTGTTTCTTTGTTATTTGCAATTTACAAGGCAAAATAATTGCGAAAAATGGAATATGATATTTTATTTTACTACATAGAACAGTCTGATTGCTTAGAATAAAGACTGCGATGTGAAAAACTACACGTCTCCCGCAGGATTAGAACTTTTACCAATTTTTTGTCGAAAATTGTCGAAATGCCCACAACGAATAGTGCCTTTAACACAAAGTATTATTCAGCATAATGTAGATTGATACAAATAGTATAATTCACACCCACAAGATAAGATAATTAATGTAAGGGGCTCGGTAAACCTGGGCCCTCTCTAAATTATTTGATCCTTTTGATTGTAATGACCTTATCTATACCTCACAAAGATTATTCTATCTTAGTAGATATCCCAGTGTTTTTCGGACGAACATCCACCCACGAGAACGTGCGAGAGAAAGTGCACTCGTGTGATAAACGTGTGCATGTGTGGTAATGATTTTACATGTATTACAGACAGGGGCTGATATGTCATTGAAGGGGCTGGGGGTTGGGGTGCTGTGTGAGCAGATATTCAAAACATTTACTNGGGGGTAGGGTGCAATGTAAAATACTAGAACAATTAAGATGACATTTTACTTATTTCGAATGTTAAAAAAACCCAGGTTTGATTACAGTTTATACTCATTCTTTGAAGAGAAACTTGTTTGGACGTCTGTTTTTGAAATCGATATTTCTTCATTTTTTAAATCAACAGAAATAAGAACATGAAACGCTAGAAACATGACAATATTCCACACATTTTCAATGGTATGGTAGATATTGAAACTCGAACCTTTAAATCTTTTATTTAACTAATTTTGAACTACGAGCTCTTCTCGAGAGGTCTCGTGGTATGTTCCATACGAGTAAAGTGGTTTTGAGACAATGTCAAAAAGAACGAAGGTAGGAGAGAAACGAAAGACAGATACCCTATATCTGATATACAAGAGACCTCAAACAACCACCACATTAGTCGCCTCTAACGACAACAAGCAGTGGAATACAGCAGGTCTGTGTTCACAGTGTACCAAAGCACGAACCGCTAGGTTGGGATTGGGTTTTAGTTTTGGGGTTCCTCCCCGGAAAATTAAATGTGCATTATATTCAACATGCTTGCTATTTCATCGCTAACCGGAACGAGTAAAATTATTGTTTTCCGATTTCAAGCCCGCCAAGCAGAGCAAGACAGTATTTTTTATGATGTTGGTAAAGGCGCCGAGCGGAGTGAGGAGGGATGGTGAGGCTGGCATAGACAACATATCTCACTGAAAAATTAAATTTGTAATCCTTTTTATGACAAGAGACGGGAGAGGAAGAATAAATCATCATGTGGGAGTGGAACGAATGGATACGTTATCCTCAGGTGTAATATTGATCTATATTCGGGAGTAGAGTTTGGAATCCTCACTCCTGACCCAAAACAATAACATTTTTCCTATAAGTAGAACTCTATACCCCACACTACCTACAGTGATTACGATAGCTCTATATAATATCATACGTTGATGACGAAAGCGTGAAGGCGGCGTCAGTGCAAATAGTTAAACGTGACCGTAATTCCTCTCGTCTCTGGTTACAAGGTTTTATTACATTTTTAATGGTTTGATATTTTTTATTGACGTATCGGTGGAACAACCAACCCAGAACGCAGTCATAAAACCAAAGAATATAAGCGAGCGTGGCACCTCGGAGTTTAGTTATCGCTGCCCTGTCTCGAACCCGTGTATATAGTGCTCGAGTTTATGATTGTTCATAATGTTGGAAGATGGAAGATTGTAATACGCCGCGCTCCCTCGTTCGCCTTCATCTACATAAAATGTACGAAAATATAGGTTAAGGTCAATAAAGAGGGTGTAAATAGTCTAGATTTTATACCTTCTTTTATGAAAATAAAACCCGTGATTATCTTAAACCATTACTCAGATTTATCAATAAAAATCGTGTTTTTAAATATATGCAATAAGGCAAAACGAATGATAGTGTTTACAATGCGTTATTCTCATATATACATAGGTAAGTCCATGTACCCATCGTGTCGTGTGTAAAGTATTTTTCTCAAAATTTTGGGAAAATAAATAAAACTTCTTAATTTAAATTACTTTAACTCCACGGTACCAGAACGGACAATTCAGGAATAAAAAAATATAA